TTCAATAAATGTCGATGGTTTAAATGGTTTAAATGCACCCCAAAAAAGAAGACTGATATTCCAGCAATTGTAAAAGATGAAATTGGATATTATATGCTTACAAGAGACCCATATAAAACAGTCAGACCAGAAATTCTTGGAAATTAAAGGATTTGGAAAGGTTTCCATCTCCTCTGACAAGGATAAGAAAAAAAGAGGTATAGTTACATATGTGAAAGAATATCTCCATCCTGAAATGCTTTATAGTTCTAAAGATGTTAGAATCCTGATTTCAAATACAAAGACAAGGTAAAATAACCTCGATTGTGAACATATATGCACCAAACCAGCAACAAGAAATTTTTTATAAATCCTTGCAACAACTGATTTCGAGCCAAAACTTTGATGAGATTTGTTTGATTGGAGATTATAATGCAGTATTTGATGGACTTTAAGACAGAAAAACAACAACTGGAAAACAAAAAAAGGCAATGAATTGCCAAATTCCTTTTTACAACTGGCAGAAGAATATAACCTGGTAGATGCCTGGAAAGTGAGAAATCTGAATAAAAAAGATTTTACATTCTATTCAGTGAGACATAAGTTCTGGTCAAGAATTGATATGTCTTGGATATCATCAACAATTCTAAATGGCATTATACAAGTGGAAATACTCCCAGCAACCTTTGCAGATCATAATCCAATTATATTTCTATTCCAACACATTAAAAAAAAAAAGCAGACAGACTTTAAATACGTTTCTTTTGAAGAATGAGAAATTTGTAACAGAGACTAAAAAAGAATTAACAAAATATTCAGGAAGGATTCTAACAGCTCTTATCACCAACCATAGTGAAATAATAATGGTTGGTGATAAGAGCTGTTAGAAGCCTTCCTGAATGTTTGGATACCTTAGTGGTGAATTAGACTGTGAAAGGACCACTGGAAATTGAAGTTTGATAAAGATTGTTCTCGAAACGAACGGCAAAACTCGAGAAGTTCGTCCCGTTCTGTACATCTTGTCGACACTCTGGTGTCTGGATGATGTCCACCTGTTGAAATACAAGAATTATAAACAACATGGAAATTGGATTTCAGCATTAATTTCTTTGTGTGAACTTATGCAGCATTTCACTTTGTATTGATGTTATATGTATTGCTGTGCCCTTAGTTTCTGTTCCTACTCATGAGCAGTGGTGGGGCCTGGTTCCCTTTTGCTCTGCACACCGGGCGATATGTCCCCAACACTTACAGGAGCAGCATTGTGTGCCCTTAAAATGGCACAACTGTCTATGTGCTGCCCCCTGCAACTCAGACACATCTTCATAGGTGTTTGCTCATCTCCTTGCTTCC